TCTGACTCCGCAAGCCTTATTTGTCCTGGGCTAATGTCCGCGCCTTAGAGGTCGCTTGTAACTGCATGAACCGGCCATCAGTCATGTTCCTTTGTTCTGGTAGTCTCGGGATTGCCCGATGATAACTCGCGTCCGGGTCATCCCAACAGTTGGTGACAAGGTGCGGTCAAGGCGTCTTCTTAGAAGTTTACTTGCCGCAGGCCCTGAAGAGGGGACTTTGAGGAATAGCGTCTTCTTTTCCACAGTGAGTGTGGTGGGTTTTTATTTGTCTCGCCACTATGTTAATTGTGATGAATCGCCCAGGCTTCCCGTTCTCGCGAAGCAGGTCGTGGATTTTCTTCAGCTCCATTTGAATACCGTCTGCCAAGCAAGTGTTTCTAGCCATTTGCGCTAAGCGGCGGACTAGACTATGTTTCAGTTAAATGGGTACGAAACTGCTAAAGTTTCGATAATGTCAGGACCAGGTTTTATTACGATAAAATCTCCTTCGGACGCTAAAGTCGCCTTTGACCTAGACTCCGATGTGATTCCCGTATCTGCAACACATACGCTTTTGAGTGACCATGAGACCCTAGTAGTCGTTTTCCAAAAGGTTGACAACTTTCAGTAGACTTTGTCCTACTCTGGACAGACTGGTAGGTTATGATGGCTTCTTCTTCTTCTTACGAGGTTATGAGAGTGGCTTAGATTAATTAGGGAGGGACTCGCCACCGCGATCTTCAGGACTGGTCCCATGTGAGAAGAGAAGAAGTGGGAAGTGGGAAGGTGGAAGGAACGTGGAAGTCACCACAGTGCCTATAGCGAGGACCTGTGTGAGTCAGCTGCAGGAAGGTGATTGGCCAGACTGGACTGGGGTCAGCATACACTCTTGCACACGTGATAATAGTCGCCGAAGGCGAGAGGTTTAGCGTTGTATGTAGAGTTTGACCACTAAAAGGCCCTTGAGACACTCGTACTCATGCGAGTTCCACGACTTCTTCCATGTCTGTCTCGAGTGGAGTAAGGACCATCGCATGAACGGCACTTGAAAGTGGGTCGTGCACTACTGTCCGCCAGCCCCCCCCCACACCCATGCCCATCCTTAGACGCCTTTTTAGTTAGATATTGCGGATTCAAGATAGCAGGAGAGGCTGACGATGCAGCATAGACTACATTCTATGCACTATCTAACGAAATGTTAATCTTTATTCTGAAATGTGTAATTAGTTCAAAAAGCTCATTTTAATTTGCTTGTCATGTTAGTTATCGTCCACGATACTCCCGAATAATCCAGTAACTTCGGAATGGCAGCCTCTGAACGAGCTTCTTTTTATTGGCCTTTAAAAAACAAAGCTCTGTCAATATTTCTCATAGATTTCAGAAAACTCCTATTAACGCAGTTTTCGTATGCCTACGGAAAAGTGGCATTAAACAGAATCTGGTATAAGTTCCTGGTGTGGATAATGCTTTCGTAGTCCATCAAGCATCCCCTGTTAGAGTTCAAACACCCCACCCCTCGGCCTGGTAATTTCGTTCGATGACGAGTTGTTGTAAGCAACTTGAAAATTCACAATTCGATCACTCATCCGCATGAAAACTTCTCTCCCAGTTACTAATTATCCGATCCTAGAACGTCCTCTTACGCTCTCTCCCGCTGTGTCAATGAAGTACGCACGTAGTTTCCGGAACGACGTAACTACAGCAACGACTGCTGCGGCCATGTGGAGATTATGAGATTTATCCGCGTTTAGCGTTC